GTCTCAATTGCAGACTCTTCTTTCGCCAGGTGAATACTCTCCGTCGTAACCTGGTTCACACCTGCCCTCCCTCTACCTCGAAGGTGGACACCTATGCTGTTCCGTGTGCCTCCTGTGATAAGCAGTATTTTGGTGAAACAGGCGCCAGTCTTACTAAGCGTCTATCTCAACATAAGTATGCTGTATCCAGGGGACATAGCAACAACGCCCTCTTCTGCCATCAGTGGGACACTGGCCATCAGATGGACTGGAAAGCAGCACGCATTTTTTTCCCTTCCACTGAGGTCCATGCCCGCAGACTGGTGGAATCTTCTCTGATTAAGCTGCTGTCCAATTTCAACTTGAACAGCAGTTTCTCTCCTGCCCACATTCTTCGTGTCCTCTCTTATGCCGGTCACCCGTCACATAGACCGCCCGATCCTTCGACTTGACCTGACCTCCCTACGCTTCCGTTCTCCTGTCCTCACCTGCCCCGTGGTTCCCGAGTGCCTCTCCTCCTTTCCCTCTTATACCGCTTCCTCTCCCTTGCCTCCTCATCAGACCCGAAGATGGAATCGAGGACGATTCCGAAACTTTTTGGGTTTTTCTACCATAGTATCAACACGGTATTGTGTTTTTATATTCATGCATGTGTGTGTGTGTGTTAGTGGCTGATAGCTTTAGCGACAGCATCTTCGGGTATGGCCGCTACAGTGCTTCACGGAGGACGAACTGCCCATAACATGTTCAAGATACCCCTAATAGAATATAATGAGCTCAGATCATGCGGAATCAAGAAGAAAACGGAGATGGCGGTGCTACTTTTGTCTGTTATAATGAAGGACGTAGTAATGGCTAACAAGACTATTGCTGCTCTTGATGTCACTTTGATAGATATAACAGAAAGATGCGTTCATTGGTTGTATTCGTATGCGCCGGTGATTTTAGACAAATCCTTCCTGTCATTAGAGGAGGAGGAAATTACGATGAGTTGAATTATTGTACAAAAAGTATTTTTCTGGCCGAATTTGGTTAAATTGGAGCTAACTGAGAACGTTAGACTAAAGAAGATTGAAAGCGTGTACGATGACAATAAAAACAATATAATGAACGTTTACTTTATAGAGGTCAATTATATCACCAACTAACAATGTAGACGAAGTGAAGAACATCATTTATGACCAAATTTAGGGTAAAGAAGTGATGTATAGAAGTGAAGATCTACCAGTTGTAATGAAAAGCCCCAATTTACCACTTCACGAGCTTATACTGAAGGTTGGGTGCGTAATAATGGTGATTCGTAACATAAATCCTCCTGAGATTTGTAACGTCACTAGATGGATCATTGCGAACCTAAAGAAGAATATAATTGTGAGGAATATCTTAGAAGGCGTATGTGACGGTGAGAAAGTGATCATACCAAGAGTCACACTCATATCTACGGATACACCAGTACACTTAAAAAGAAATCAATTTCCAGTTAAAATGAGCTTTGCAGTGACTATAAACAAGTCACAGGGACAGACGTTTGATGGAAGTGGATTATTGTTAGATACTGCAGACAGTTTTACGTCGCATGTTCACGAGTGACAAAGTGGGATTCTCTGATTATCCATACGGGAACTACTAAGGAAAACGGTGAAATAGCCACGAGTTGTCCCTAGACAAAATCATCACAACAGGAGAGGTGAACCATAAGGCAACACGGACAACAACTGACCTCTGAAGGAGAGGTGGAGCACGGAACAATCCTATTACTGAAAACGTCTTCAAACTAACAGAAGAAGAAGCAATTGAGATGATTTTACTGGACTACGACACTGAAGATTCACTGGAGAAACTTAAAGATAACATTTTGGAAACTCAATAACAGTAACGGGAAACTCGAGAGGATATTCATCATAATTAAGAAGAAGAGTGATGACATCGATGAAGGTCGTAGATTTCCTAAACGCCGATTCGACGCAGAAAAGGACTTTGGTGGATAAGAATCTGATGAAAGCGAATCGTCTAAGGAACAACATAACTTTGTAGACAGATAAATAAACCAATATTTGTATAACATACTTCTTTTATTTCACATTTGATAATATCCTTTTCATAAGGGCGAAGTGAGCAAGCAGCCGGTAGCCAAGCAACCGTGCGTAGCCAAGTGCGGCCGCTACTTGTAATCAAATAATAATAATAATAAAACATATCAGCTGATTTTGAGAACATGACGGTCATGTACGGCCACTGAAAAGCCGAAGAAAAATGGTACCATCTGACAATAAAAGTGCTGCCGAGATTAAATATGGACAAATCCTATAAAGGCTATAATAGCTTGTCTCGCAAACAGGTTACCACAACAAAGCTACGCTATGATATCTGTACATTATGCAATACGCGCAGGATGCAGTTTTGGAGACAAAGCCAATTTCGTATCACCACTGCAAAATGGGCATGGCGACCAAGTTGCATAATCTTACCCATTACTTTGTTGCATGGAAACTGCATCCTATCGTCAAATTGTACTGTTCAGACCAGCACTTGTTAATTATATTGGTTTTATTGTGGACACTGGTCTTGTATTTGATATGGTTAATGATATGAAAGTTTTTAATTTTCTTTTTTCTTTTGCTGGCCACATACGTGAATCATTGTCAGCACAGTGGTACAGTCCTTTAGGGATGTAAAACTAATGTTTGGCGGATAAGACGTCAACTTAAATAAAAGCACAGCCAGTTTGGAGAGATGCTTTGACAACTAACCCTGGCTTTTTGCAGGGCATGTACAGGTTTGTGAATCTTTCTTTCAGTCAAATCTCTCTCTCTCTCTCTCTCTCTCTCTCTCTCTCTCTCTCTCTCGACATGTTTTAGAGGGTAATAAATAACCTGATGAGTGAACAAATTTAACATGTGTTTCGTATGAATTCTGTTGATTCAGATATTTAAACCAGTACCGGAAAAATTATGGGAAAATAATTCGCTGTCCTCTAATCACCTTGGAAAAGTCAGAGGCCCAAACTGTATGTTACTTAAAGAAATTGAAAAACAAGTGCATCATGTATTATTTGTGATGATCAGCTATCATCATATGTATCTACACTGCTATTTTCCACCATATTAGAATCACGTCATGTCACTGATGTTATTTTGAAATCTTGCTTATAAAGATGTATGGTAACGGTCAGCTGAATTACGTCTCATATGTGCTCCATATTCGTGTGCATATGGAAATTACATAACCAGTGGAATGGAGTGTATTCATTTCAGTATCTGAACCTTGATGGAGATTTCTACTACATTTCTTTTCATCATTAGTTCACTATCCGCACATGTGCACTAAATTACAGTGATTTAGATGGCCTTCGGTCTTTGTCCTTCGATCCAGTCACTTTATTTCCATTCGCTCTATCTTGCTTATATACCGTTTATCCACGTCACATTTGCGTATGAACGCAGATGTGTGGTTATATATATATTTTTTTTATTTAGCCGTCTTCTATTTATCTCCCTGATATTTATCTTATTTCTAATTTATCCGACAAACACGCGTTTAAAATCAATATGTACAACAAATTCGGAATTGATATACCGCAGAGGTGCATCAGAGAGAGGGGTATCTGTATCCAAATAGTTCAAAATCAAATTTATAAATCTCCAATATCCTTTCCATTATATCTTTCGGTATATCCTCATAGAGGTATATGTCCGATCGGTTCGTCGTCTTCGTCTTGCGATCCTCCTTGAGCTCTATGCCTTCCGTGTGATTCAGAAAGTTCATGACGTAGTTGAACTCGGGGGCGATGGTCTCCAGGTGAACAATGAAATGGTATCTGTGCTTGCACGGGTTGCACAGGAACACGAGAGGCGCCCAGTGCTTGTTCATGAAGCCGACATCATGGGTCCAGACCACATAGCGCAGGAAGTCCTCGAAGGTGAAGGACGCGTTGCGGAAATCGCTTCTCAGCCTGAAGCCGGCCTTGCCATAGGAGTTTTTCAGGACTTTGTAGATCTCTCTTCCGTGGTCCACATTGGCCCAGTAAGTTGCGTTCCTGGCCCTCATCCGCAGATTGGGCCGGAAGGGAAACGAGCCTCGAGCTGCGAGCGCTGAGAACCAGAAGGTCTCCCACTCGTTGTACCAAGGCATCCGGGACTTCGTTTTCTGGCGCCATTCCTGGTCGTATTTGTAGAGGGGCAATCCTCCCAGAAATTTGTCTCTGGTACGCAGAGAGAGAGAGAGAGAGAGAGAGACAGACAGAGAGAGACAGATCGAGAGTAGGGTTAAAGAATAATTGTTAATTTCATTTTGTATATTAGAAGTATAACTAATCTAGATCTATTAAACTGACCATTCAAACATTTCATAACCTGACCGGCAGGCTAATAATAATGCTGTCCCAGCTTCTCTGCACTCACCTGTAGGCAGAGGCGAGGCGGGCCAAGGGATGTCTGACGCTCAGGATCTGCAGTGGCGGGGATCGGCCGACCACATCTTTCGGCATCCGCAGGGTCAGCTGCCGCCACGACGTAGAACCTCCCTGTTAGGGAATTATTGATGTGTGTGTGTACACACACACACATACATATATATACATATATGTATATATATATATATATATATATATATATATATATATATATATATATATATATATATATATATATATTATATTATATATATTAAATTTGAGGTCTGATCGATGAGGGTCGACTGCTTTCTGCAGGTATCGGGTGACAGAGATCACCTTCAGCCGTTTGTTACGTTTGATGTGATGTGACTGATAAGGTCAACCAATTAGTGGACTATGGAGCTTCCTATGATGACGATGATCTAATTTGATGAAGAATGCTTCTATATCTCCTTAGCAATTATTTTATCGAGTATTTTACCTAAGGTCGTTCAGAGAGTTGGATGGATTTGATTTGGGAATCGGAAATGTGATAGATCGCTTTCCTGGGAAAGGTACCACGCCTTCAGTGGTGGGACTGTTAAAAATGCCGCACTGAGGAGGGCGAGCTCGGAGCAAACTGGCAATAAACAAATCAGAAAACTTACTTTTAGCTATCCTCATTAAATGCTGAAGTGCCTCGTATTCGCTTACAGTTGCTTAGGTGATGATGTTAGTGTATTCAGAATAGTGTTAAACAGCAGTTACGCCATCGCCTTCATAGTAAGGATATAGCTGGATATCAGACGAGAGACCAAAAGAGAAAAAATCAAGTAAATAGCTGTCCAATTAAATAGGACATGGAAGGAACCTAGATTATTTTAATACCTTCCATTATACTGCATGAGGTGCGAGGTAGGAAACAACTAGTCTATACTATGGTTCTCTATAGGGCTAGCGAAAGTTGGTATGGTTTTGTGCAACAATTGGGGGCTGTCAACGCGTAAAGTTCAGATTCTCTGGTTGCATTCAGGTAGAATGGCCCAGTGTTGTCTGAAAGGACGATACAAAATTCATATGGAACTGCGGTATACAATCTAATATGTCTACCTTCTTCGAGCACCAGAATGTGCTACAATTCTGAAATAGCAGGAAAGGGGTGTTTTCAGTTTCAGACCTGAAATCCGATTTTTGATATAGGCAATATACTTCACGAATTCTTGGTCTTTCCTAACCCCACAAGTAAATACTGAGCACAGGGGATGGGAAGCTTGAATGGCTCAAAATTACTATATAAACCATTTTCTGTATACCTCATTTACATAGTCTTTGGCTATGTAGGTTTTTAGAGTGCTTTATTTTGATTTAAGGGTAATTTATTATCATTGGCCCCTTATTATGTCAACGTTGTTTAATTACTGTTTAATGAAGAAATAAATATGTATTATTTCTATTACTGAGAAGAGGCTTTTTAAGTTGATATTGTCCATACATAAATCGTGAAGGATTATATGGTTCTAATATATGTGATATGAGTAGAGGTTCATTTTTGAAGTACATACAAATTACGATATTACATCCTGATTTTACAACAATGATAACAGAGAGAGAGAGAGAGAGAGAGAGAGAGAGAGAGAGAGAGAGAGAGAGAGAGAGAGAGAGAGAGAGAGAGAGAGAGAGAGAGAGAGAGAGAGAGAGAGAGAGAGATCTTAACTACACGAATGGGTTAAGGTTAAGATGTTGGAATATCAGAGCTAAAGGCGAACACGTGGCACTGTGACACCATCCAGACATGCTTCTTGAGATATTAAGGATTTAAACTCATCCAGGCAATGGAATTTTGTACGATGGATAAGAAATATTTGAGTGAAGAATGGTATCAATGAGTAAATTTCACAGGAAAATTTGATTGATATAATTGAATGTGATTTTTTTGAAAATGTAATGATTTATGGCTTAATATATCAGGAAGAAATTTAAAACTATATTTATTTGTTTCATATTACATTTCCCCCAAGTACCTCTCAGCATGAAGTTAGATCATAGTAACCTTTGATTTTTATAGTGTGAATTTCTAATTAATAATTTGAATGGTTTTGTGAATCCCAGTAATGAAATGTTGACATTATTTGTGATGAAAAGAGTTGGTGCTACATCATTCTTAGGATTTCTTGGGTAAGTAAGTGGTAGATTTTCGGCATTGTATGGTGAAATAAAGCCTAGCATTTGGTATATTTGCATTTGGTAAATTCGAACTTGGCATTTGGCGACCAAGAAGTAGCATTTGTTCTTATCACCGCAATGCTTGGCAGGGCAAAGGGGAATGCGTTGTAGCGTTTCGAGACGAATTTTGCATTAAAAACAAGCAAAATCGCCTGGTCTATGTTGCCTCAGGAACCAAATAGATTTTCCCCCATTAGCATAATTAGTCGCAGCTGACGAATTTGCACTTCGCGATTTTTCTTCGTTAGTAATTACTTAACATGAAAATTGGACGTGTGTGTGTGCATATATATGTATACACAATCTTTTATGGAGTGATAATCAAATGAAACCAACCAACCTTAGGGGTTGCACAGACACGGAAAAATCCCTTTGCGTTCAGCGTAACTCTCGTTATCCATTTCATCGCTGGTTTGACCTTGTTAGCATTTGTTGCAATGCACTGCCTACGCAAGTATGCACGCCGTCGCTCCATGAGACTGGCCATGGCCTCGTCATGATTTGACCTGCTGAGGATGTCTGGGTCAAGGGTCAGACTACTGGTCATGTCATCGTCCAGTGGCCTGGCTTGAGACGCATTGTCGTGTGCGTAAAGAAACTCTCTCTGTAATGTGAAATGGATAAATTAAATGTTTACAATTAAATGTTTACATGTACGCGCACACACACATACACAATTCTACGATGAAGTAAAGTTCAATGATCAGAGTTAGCTTAATCGTATTGTTGAGGCACACCTGTTTTGTTATAACGAGTGGAAAAGCACGAACCTTGCACTGAGCTTGCAGTTCTTGCATTGTGCAGTATGTGACCCGAGTTTCAGGATGTTACAAGTTTATGTCATGTTACTCTATCAGTAACTAAATAACTGAATACCATTTGAAACATTTACTTACTTTAGTTGTTAGGACTTCTTTTGATGCAAAAGTAGGTTTCTTGCTAGAGATTTCCTCAACAGTATACAGCTTATAGAGGTCTTTTTCGGGCGTCGTTGACTGAAATGAGAAATGCTGCAGGATGAAACTAAGTGAATAGGAAAACTCTGACGAACTTTATGCTTCTAAGATTGGTTTAATGATGGTTTAGACTCTAAACCCTAGCTATGGCAAAAAGCATTGTTGGTCAGCATTTTTTTCTATTCACAATTATTTTACACATGTCAATACATAGGTCAAAAATGGATAATTCATATACGAATATATACTAACTTTTCATTTCCACCTTTATCTACGTATCGATAAAAAAAAAAAACATTGCTTATCCAGCAACACAGTGATCCACGTATCATGTATATTTAATAAAACAGACAAAACTGATGAGCTGTAATGGAGAATTCCAAGTCTAAGAAGTGACTTTTAAGTCTGTGCTAATAGAAGATCGATTGAGTATATTTTTTCATATACGAATATATACTGACTTTTCATTTCCACCTTTATCTACGCATCGATAAGAAAAAAGTAAATTTTTCTATGATATTCAGCGTTTAATTCTGCGATTGATCGAGATTTTGTTTATCAATCGAACTCCATGGCAGCTAACGAAAAGCTTCTACGCTTCTGCCCTTCAACTGCTCAGGTGTTTGGCGATTTAATGACTATTTTTTTTTTATCGATTTTTAAAGACATCAGTGCGATTACCAAGTTTTTTTTTTTTTTTATTTTTTATTCGAATGGAAGAATCGCGAGACAGTATTTTTGGGGATTTCCTGGAGATTAACGGATTTTTAAAGAATTTCTTGAAGATTTCCGGCTTTCCAAAAAAAAAAAACTTAAGGATTTCCGTATTTTTCTTCGGATTTCCAGGTAGAGTTTACGGGATTTCCGAAGCGAAATGCCCCTAGATTACTAATCCCCCATTTATCAATGCTGCCTTAAGTGTCAATTGTGTTACGTTGCATTGACTCTTTTGAGCCTAGAAATATACGGTATGCCTTTCTGTTTAATTCTATACTATTTCCACATCCCTTTCTTTATAAACTATATTTTATATAACTGAATATGAAAATTGAAATGGGTTACAAAATAGAATATAAGTAGTTGGCATTTCACGGCAATGGGTCGCGCATGCGTATTGACGAACATATAGACCTTGTTGACTAGTTGAATGGACAGGTTGACACGTCTGTGTAGGCGGCGCGTAGACTTGAAATTACTTAATATAGATATACGGCAGAAAAAAAAGGAATATCAAGAAATTGGAGATAAGGACGCCTATAATTATGAGGCTGAGGGTAGTTATGAGAACGATGATAATGATAATACTAGTATTACCGCAGTAATTATGTAAGGGTATCCATCATGAATGTTACTATAATTACTCTTATTATCCTGCTGAAATCACCAGCATTAACGCCATCATCTAGCATAGGATATTTATGTCGTTTTTTTTATCACCAACATTTTTACGAGATGATAATTGCCCCTTTCCGGACGCGGTTTTCTCAGAAGAGCGCAGAATGCCAGGTGTCGTCAGCCGGTAATTCAAACGTTTTATCTACATTTACATACGCTCCAATTAAATAAATACGAGCTGGAATTTGAATATTTCATTTAAATTCTGTTATTATAATGCATACAAACCCTATAAAGAAGAAAGTAGACATTACGAAGAAACTATAGAATTAACATGACCAGTTTGTTTACATTTTATGGTCATAAATCGTAGTCTCCACAGAGACTTCGATGTTAATTACTTATTTTATTTAAAGATCCTCTCAAGTATTTTTTTTTTTTTTTAATACAGCTCTATATTCCCTTTTTAATTCCCATTCTCAGACAACTATGATTCTGTTGGTGTGCCAGAATACAGACTATATGCTATTCACTCAAATTCATAGGAGGGAAACTCACGAAAGTAACGCCATGTCCGTATTGTTGTTATCTTACGGTTATCACCTGAGGTTGGAAACTTTTTTGAAAGAAAGAAATGAGGGCAGATATTCAAGAGCCATACTTTTTTGCACTACTTTTAAGACATTTTATTTACATGTATGAATAAATAAATGCCATACGGTAGTTCTAGTGATCGATGTATGTGAAAAATATGTTTACATCAGGCTTTGACAATTATTATGCCTCTCAGATACAGTATTCGCCATTTCATAGCATCGCTTAATGTGGATGATGAGCAAGCTTAATTTACATTCCATATGGACTTTCAGTATTGCCATTGGCGTACTGCAGGTAAGCTATCCTTACAGCTATATTCTATATTCAGGTAATGCTATGGAAAAATATTCATACTGTGAGTTTATTCGATAAATTACAAGGTATTCAAAATGTGGACGTAAATATATTCATTATCCACACTTTGTATGTGTGATCACAGCAAGTAACTGTGAATATGATTTCATTTCAATAATTTATTTTATTATTAATTATAAATAAATATTACACACACCCACACACACACACACACACACACACACACACACACACACACACACACACACACACACACACACACACACACACACACACACACATATATATAGATATATATATATATATATATATATATATATATATATATATTTATGGTGGTTTTCATGCATCATAATTACATCACCTACATAAAACATACTTTTTTTCCAATTGATCTTATTCGATTATGACACTTGTGAGGAGAAAATACCATTTTAATATCTGGCTAGCGACTCTTGCATCAAGTGTGCTTTTGGCTACAGAGATTATAAGGTCCAACTGCAAAGCCGTGTCACGACTTTTTTTTTATAAAATGTCTTAAAATAATGCATTTTTTGTTAAAGTCTAAAATACATTTTTGTCATTTTTAAAAAAATCGGTCAAGTGGATTATCAGAAATCGCTGACACGGTTTTATAGTTATATGCTTTATGACCATATACCACTATATTGTTAAGCATCACCGCTATATGAATAATAGCCTTAATGACAATGATAGCATAGGAAGATGGGAAGTCAACCATGCAACTCATGCAAATAAAGTAAAATGATTATTTTAGGACGATTAAGTTATATCCCATAATTCTACAATGTGATGTGGCATCAGGTGTAAGCCATTGAAATCTCAATTACCATAAAATCACATTATTTCATGTAAAGAAACCGTCGTGTCATGGTACTGACGGTGTGTGAGACAACTGGTTTGACCCAATGGATTTTCGTAAGCCCGACGACGCCAATGCTCCGCCCACTGATTTCAAATAATTGCAATTATTTGGCGCTGCAGATAAAGCCTATCATTCTTATCAATGGATGTACGTGTAACACAACCTTTACAGTTTGGGGCCGCGGCACCCTGAATATATTTTTCAAGTCTTCAAACACACTAAAAATCTCTTTACTCTATATTCATACGAATGTATTATACATGCATAGTTATTATATTCCCTTTAAAAGTACTAACTGAATCAAAATACCTTCTTAATTAATGGGAAACTTTCGCCAGACTGTACGGACAAAGTTACTGTGTATTACGTGGGACAATTAAGAGCACGCCCTTATTTCCTTATCATTAATATCATTAACGTCATTATCATTTTCAAAGTAGATTTTCATCAGCCTAATCACGTGTTCAACCAGAAAATGTTCACCTTTTCCTAGTGTATCAGACTGAAGTGAATTAAGAAGCAAAAAACATTGCACCAAACATAACATTAAATGTTACGAGACACAAACTGAGAACCACCGGTATGAATAAATGATAATAAAACAAAGGTAGTGTGAGTGTGTTTGCGTGTGTGTGTGTGTGTTTGCGTGTGTGTACGTGTGTAGCGTACGTATGTGTTACGTTGTGTGTGTACATGTGTGCTGTGTGTGTGTGTGTGCAACGTGTGTGTGTGTGTGTATGTGTGTGTGTGTGTATTGTAGTGTACCATTATCATTATTGCTCTCAGCATTCTGTTCTCTCAAAAAAAAAATGTACCCTTAGGATGATGCTCGGCCGACGCAAAGGGGCTCCTTCTCTTCATAGTGATTAGCGAACGACTGCAGTTCGAGTCTCGGACGACCAGGTGTCCGTGACATGAATATTACATCATCTGAGTCATTTAACTGCTTTAATACATATTACATAGTCTTGATGACGGATTTTCGTAGACAGGTCATTATATTTCAGCGGATGGAAGTGTATGTATGTATATGTATATATATTTATATATATTGACACACACACACACATATAGGTACATATGTGTGTGCATAAAGATAGAAAGAGACAGATATATAAAATTCTATCCCTCCCTTCAATCCTTACTCCTTTTTATTTTGGGTGATGAAAAAATTATATATGTGAAACTGAAAACTTTTAAATCTTTATTAAACATTAGATATTTTTGCACAAAAACATAAAATCATTTAAAGATTTTTCAATTACTCATCCTTTTATTTTCATAATTTCACGACTTTTTTCTTTCTCAGCCGTCTTTTAGGGGTTCTCCGGGAAGCAGTGAAAAATCTGCTCTTCCCACCCCACTTGCTACACCTCTCAATACATATATCTATATATATATAATATACATATATATATTTTATACATCTGTCTATATCTACATACATTTTTCTATGTGTGTGTTACTACTATTATTACAATTATTGCTATCTATATTCTTATACTTATTTTGTATTACTGTAGTTACATAACCCCTACTTTTGACCCTCTCTTCTCAAGTCGGCGGGCATGTATGTACACTTACAGGTTCACCAGTACGGAGTGTTTCATGCAACTCACTATATGTCAGGATGCTGCACTCCTTTGATACCAGTACCACTGGTTTCGGTGGGCAGCTCCTGATGAGTGTTCACGCACGCAGGGCACTGAAGAAGGTTGGCGGGAATGTGAAAGGACAGGCAGGTATCAACCCATAAAATTTATTGACAGGCGGTCACCCCACGCACACACAGACACAGCTCTGGCACGTTATTTCACCCCTCCTCAACACAACAGGATAACACAATCACTCTTCCTTAGAATATTATAATATTCATAAAGCAAGTTCTCCTTTCAAAAGATGCCCTCTCGTAATCAGTGCTTGTCAGGCACACGAAGAGAGCCAATCACAGCGCCGGTCTCGCTCTATCTGCGGCCAACCAATCACGCTCCAACGTGTCCGGCGGGCTTTCCATCGCCACCAATACACACATACATATGGTTACAAATGCATTTCTGTATCATTATTATTATTGTAATTATCATTATTATTGTTATCTTTAGTATCATAGTTATCATGTGTCATCTTTATCATAATCATTATGATTACAGGATCATTATCTTCAGTAGTAGTAGTATTAATAGTATCATCATCATCATCATTATTATCATCATCATCACCACCATCATCATCGTCATCGTCATCGTCATCGTCATCGTCATCGTCATCGTCATCACCATCATCATCACCATCATCGTCATCGTCATCATCACCATTATCATTATTTTTGTTTATCTACATTACAATTAGTAGTAGTTGTGGTAGTAACAGTAAGAATATCTAATTCATCATTGTTATCTTCATTACTATCATTATCATTGATATTACCTTTTTCGTTACTGCATCATAATTATATAATGATTAGAGTTAACAATTTGTTATTGTTGTCATTATTTTAGTTTCATTTGTATTTATTATTCTTACTATCATGATAATCGTTATTACTTCCGTTGAAGTTACCAGTTTGGTCGCTGATGATATTGCTGTTACACGATAGTTCGTCGGTTCTATATTGAGAATCACAGTAGGAAACCAACTACAGTCAACAATAATAATCCCTTTTATTGCTGTTGGCTTGTAGCTGTTAAGCTTGTATAACGTTGAAAAGGCGCATCAATTATTTCACTTTTATCTTAACAAAAGTGATTTAATATTTATTAGCTTCATTATTTATATTGGTAACATAGGTGTCTACGTACTCGTTGGTATTGATTATTATTAATAAATAAAACTAAATAAAATCCATTACCCGACCCTGTTTTATAACGCCTTCCCCAATGAAAATAGACCATTCAGAAGGTTGTTGTCAAAGGCTACGTTTCTGCTGTACACAGATGCTAGAGTACCTTTAGAGATCTTGTCATTTAGCATTAGTCCCCAGGATTGATTCGGAAGAGAACTATGGTAGCCATATGACAAGCAGTCAGAGGATTAAGGAGAAGATATGTTGGGGATAAGTTTAACGCTACGCACCTCCGCCTGTTTGGCTGGAGCGATCATCATCGGGACTTACGTTATATTCGGCGGTCCAGGCGACAGCAGGAAGAAAAGGAGACGCAAAGGTGGGTTTGGTTCAGGATACCTGTTAGTCATGAGGAAGCCCTGTTTGTTAGATATATAGAATATGGCTGCTTCGCCAAATGCTACAATATTGGTATCATGGATTCTTCCCGTCCTCAGGTGTGTATATTTATATAGTAATTTATATTTGGACCCCTTCCCCACCCCTTCATGGAAACTGGGCCGTGATAGTGCATAAATGTAGATTGTAGCATGGAAAGATAACTTTTCAGAATACCTTCACATAACCAATTGCAGCACTTTTAGGGATCAGATGAATCTCCCCCATAACACTCTTGGTCGAGACTACAGAGTCATGCACATTGTGCTGCGTTCGGAACTGCTTGTCTTGCTCGTCCAGACATCTTGTCCAGGACCAGCAGGACAAGTGGGCCGCATTTGGAACCTCCAAGACCCTTTCTGCCCAGAATGCAACCGGCTCGAATGTATACATTCACTTCTTTATCATACTGGTGTCTTTATTTTACATGCTGCATAGGATTTGTAACTCCTTTGATGCATATTTAACTTACCTGCAACTGACAAACACAAAAATATCCTTTGATAACACCAATAAAGGGTCATAAAATTACCCACCAATATCTTGTGGTTAACTGCAACTGTCAATGTTTACATACAAAAACTATTGTGACGTCATCTCGTCCTGCTCGGCCACCTTCGCAGGAGGGTGAGTTGGATGAGCTTGACTACTTGTTCGGGACAAGGAAGTGGAGGTTCCGAACGGTCAAAACAACTTGTCCAACTGGTCTGGACGAGATAGATGAGCAGTTCCGGATGCACCATTAGGAGTACCAGGGTGAATCCAAACAAGTTATTGTAAGTTGATAAAAATAAATGTTTTCTGCAGGAAATCCTATGATTTTATCAGTTCTTGGTGTTTTTACTTCTGTTAATTAATCATTGATGAGAGCTGAGTGCCATTTCACAATCAACGATCCTGATTTGGTAATCTCGATAGGATAGCAGGGGAGGGTGTGAAGTATATCAGGGAAATTACAGTGTAAAACTGGCTCAAATAGGAACAATAAAGAACAAAAATGCATAAAACCAGCACTAAAAAACGCATAAAATTAGCTAATGAAACTTCAGTCGTGCCCATCAGTTTTGAAATTCTAAGGATTGAAGTGTCAAAATAAAAAAAATTATTTATGGGAATCCATCACCTTTCAGTAAAATCTACGGGAATTCACGCCTTCCAAATCCTCAAAATAGGTCCTGAACAATTAACCCCATCTATCCTAGCAATCTAAGTTCCTGTGACTAGGGGACTGCCCAAAGGGAGGGTTGAGGGGGCTGCTCTGCCCCCCAACTCCCCCAAGGATACAATTTCTTCACTGTAAAATGATTAACCAAATACCTCAATATCTGAAAACACCAGACTTTCATTTGCTTCTTTCTACTATCCAAATTGCTCCATTTTAATCTCTCTTTTTTTTTGCATTTAGGGCACTTTAAGGACTTAGATATCAAACTATGATTTTATTAAAGTCTATTTCTTATTCTTTGCCACAGTTTAATCTAAAGAATAATCCAGAATCAACACAACACTGAAACACAAAGCATTTCTGACTGGCTACCTCTCACGGAATGGCCAGAATCATACTGTGAAACCTAGCGCCTGAAAATGCTCATGGCTAGACAATTCTTGTTAACCCATTTGCGATGGGTGCTCCACATATGAGACACCCCAAAAAGAAGGAAAAAAAAAAATTGCCAGGTGTCCCGCTGGTGTGACACTGTATTGGGTTTCGTGCTCAGACTCGGCAGCCGGCTGCTGCCGGCATGGGGCAGAGGCCGGGACAGCCCCATGTGCCGATTTTGTAGCCTCCTGAAAACTTCAAAATATATTGGTGTTAGTGGGTTAAGAGGCAGTAATGTAGTTTGAATGTTAAGAATAGATAAAGTTAATGAAAAGAAAAATGAAAAAATAAGGTACCAACAGTAGGTAGAAGACACATTGTAATGTATAAACATAAAACAAGGAAAGGAAAAGGTAAAGGAATATGATGGATAATGGATAACAAAATGACCAATTGGAAATATTTCTGGGTTACTTGAAACTCGTTCACAGAAAATGTGACCTTTTTAGAAAACATATTTTTTAAAAATGCAACATATAGAAAACAAACACAGAAAATGTAGACATAAATGAAGAACTCTTGCAGTGTTAGGGTGTTGTTGACTTTGTCTTTGAGCTGTGATATACAGCAATTTTCTTCATTTACTATAAAGATCAGGCCACTACAGCTTAAACTATGTTGTTTCTTACTCCATTTTCTACACTCAATAAGATGGCAGTGTCCATTTGCCACTATCCCCATCCCTCACTCTTGGTAACTTATACTGATATCTAGTATGGACTGACCCAGAAAAGTTGGGACACAGATGTGGGAATAGCAAGTAAATCTTTAGAAAAGCCATGCATCACCAATAACTATATGTAGATAGGTAGATAGATCAGTAGATTTCTTTTCTCCTTCTTTTCAAGGTAACTTAAATATCTGAAATATATTTGTGATTACTACATGGAAATAGAAACTGTATCCATAGAGGTATCATTCTCTTCGGAAGTGACATAATGGTTTTTGACAATACTCCTCAGCAATTTTGAAATTCATGTACAGTAACTAATTAGTCACCTTTTCTCTACATTAACCTAAAAAGAGATGCAGAATATATTTGTAGTATTAATTTGTTATCATTCATTTATTTATTTTTTTATTTTTTTATTATTATTGTTTTTCTTTTTTCCTCGCAGATATTATCCCTGGATTGGCGAATGTAGGCAACTCATGTTTCCTAAATGCTCTTGTCCAGTCATTAGCATCATGCCCTCTTTTCATCAACTGGCTGACGTCCAAGCTCAGGGATCCATCTCCTCCTTTGGTGACAGCACTTCATGACCTCCTGAAAGGTAGGCATCTGTTGTTTGGTGAAGCCTTCTTTTGTTATTAGTTTATCTTGTTGAAATTTTGCAGGGATTGTAGAGATAGTTGTACTCTTTCATTCTCCACCTCCCCCTCTTCTTCTTTTTCTTCTTCTTTTTCTTCTTTTTTTTTCTCCTTCTCCTTCTCTCTCTTCTCTCTCCTTCTCCTTCTCTCTTCTCCTTCTCCTTCTCCTTCTCCTTCTCCTTCTCCCTTCTCCTTCTCCTTCTCTTCCTTCTCCTTCTCCTTCTCCTTCTCCTTCTCCTTCTCCTTTCTCCTTCTCCTTCTCCTTTCTCCTTCTCCTTCTCCTTCTCCTCCTTCTCCTTCTCCTTCTCTCTTCTCCTTCTCCTTCTCCTTCTCCTTCTCCTTCTCCTTCTTCTCCTTCTCCTTCTCCTTCTTCTCCTTCTCCTTCTCCTTCTCCTTCTCCTTCTCCTTCTCCTTCTCCTTCTCCTTCTCCTTCTCCTTCTCCTTCTCCTTCTCCTTCTCCTTCTCCTTCTCCTTCTCCTTCTCTTCTCCTTCTCCTTCTCCTTCTCCTTCTCCTTCTCTTCTCCTTCTCCTTCTCCTTCTCCTTCTCCTTCTCTCCTTCTCCTTCTCCTTCTCCTTCTCCTTCTCCTTCTCTCCTTCCTCCTTCTGCTTCTCTGCTTCCTTCTGCTTCTGCTTCTGCCTCCTCCTCTCCTCCCTCCTCCTCCTCCTCTCTCCCTCCTCCTCTCTCACTCATGGCCTCATCCATTCA